ATTTTCTCCATCTTGGAATTGTCTCCTTGCGCAGATTCATCTTTGTAAGGGTCTCCGATACTTGGGGTGTCGCAGCCTCATAGTGCTCAGCTTAAGGCTGGAAGCTTGTCATGGCAAAGGCAAGCCCTGTGTTCTTTCACGCAGCGCTCTTGACGACGTGGGAAGGTATTGTTGCAGCGCCTTCCCGTCACCCTAGCTCTTCAATTGCAGAAACAGAGGGGCCTGCAGGGTTAGACCAAGTGAGGCTCAACAGTCTGTATGTTATGCTAAAAGTATTCAGATGACTCAGGTTCCTTCACACTCTCTGAGTCGCTGCAGGGAGCCCGCTCGCTACACTTCGGAAGTTTTAACGACGGAAAGCAACATATGTTGCACTATGCTGTAGATGCTGTACGACATTTGGCTGTGCCTTACTTCACTGTGCTATATGATGCTCTTCAGTGCTGACGGTGCATGTAGCGGTGTACAGTAGCTGCCAGTTTTCCGCATTCCCAAACCCCCCAAACCTGCCTGGGAAAGGATCGTAGAGAGCTGTCTTCAGCTTCAGGGCATCCTCAGAAGCATCTCTTTTCAATAGGGCCCGGGACTTGCAGATTCGGATCGAGTCCTCCAACGCAGCTCTTAAAAACGATTAAATACTTAGGCCTGTTTTGGTCATGGCTTTGTACAGTGTTCTTTGGGATCCTGAAGGAATACTAATTACTACGAATTGTTCCGACTCCGACAAAACCCTAAATAGCACCCGAACAGCTTGTACAACCCTTACCAAAGAGTCACGACTGAACTTATGAAACCTAAACCCCTCACCCCCAGACCCGAAACCATACATGATCCTAAAACTCGTTAGAGTCGCCACCTAAATCACTAAACGAGCAATACCCTATAAGCCCTAAATACCCTTAACAGAGTCCCTAATTTTATAGGTTTTTTAAACGAGCCCTATAAGCTTTTAGATAAAAACTTTAACGAGCGCTATAAGGGCTTAGAGTTTTCGAAAATTAGGGGGGGTACCTCATTTTGGGGTCCCTATACTAAGGATCCTACTGGTACTTTTTTGTTTTAAAAAACCTAAAGCCCGTCGGCCTTGATCAGGTGCCTGGCCAGCGGTGTCCACTCGCACTTCGTCTCCTGTCTCTCCGGGTTTAGGCTTTGGGACAACTCTATGACTTTCGAGCCTCAGGTTCAGTGAAGCCTAAACCCTAAACCTGTAGAACTCCTAAACCCTAAACCCTAATTAAACCCGAAACCCTTGAACGTTGAACCCTTGAGCCCTTGAGCCCCTGAAGCCCGAGCAACAGGGCCCTAAATGGCCCAGAATCAGAAACCCTAAACCGCCCACATTGAATCCCAGAAAGTTGGAACATGGGTTTAGGATGAATAGTGCTGGGATTCCCTATGCTTTGCCTTGAGGGCATGAGGATAATGATGTTCCAACTTTCTGGCTTCTACTGTAACGGCGGGCCAGATATCAAACCCTTACGGGAGCCCGACTGGAAGCCTTAACTTAGAGAAACCCTGTTGTAGCGATGCAGGCCCTTAGCCTAAATCCTGAACCCTAAAACCTGAACCATATATTAACCCTACCAACATCCCTAAACCCTTATAAGCCTTTATATGTAGGCCATAGGGGTGGGGGGAAGAGCCATCTCAGTCTCCCTCGCCTGGCCAATCTTCTCGCACTCCGGGACCGGGACGAAGCCTAGCTCTGGGTGGTCTCGGGTCTGATACCCTATAGTAGAAGCCAGAAAGTTGGAACATCATTGTCCTCAGACCCTTAAGGTAAAGTGTAGGGGGGGATCCTAGCACTAATCCTCCTAAAGCCATGTTCCAACTTTCTGGCTTCTACTATAAACCCTAAACCCTTTAAGGGTTTAGGGTTTAGGCTTTTAGGGGTTTGGGGGTCTAGGAGGTTTAGGAGTTTAGGGTGTAGGCTTTAGGTGATCTCTTCGAGGCGGACGTTCGGGCTTTAGGGCTTTAGGGGATCGGGGGTTCAGGGATGGAAAAGGCGATTTCTTGGGAAAGCGGGGTTCAAAGCGAGACAGCGAGGGAATCATCTCGGACACGCAGCCAGGAATCCCCAAACCCTCTATGACGCAGAGAACATGACAGAGCACACCGGCTCAGCCTCAACCCTTCACTCCGAAACCCCCAAGTCCCCAACCTCATCCCCTGCCCTTCTAAAAACACTCAAACTATAAGCCCTAAACAGGAAACCAATCAAGCTTTAAGTTTAGGGTTTAGGGCCCCCCCTAAACCCTGAAACCTAAACCCTAAACCCTAAAGCCTGAAGCCCCAAACTCTAAACTCTCGACGCCCAGTGTGCCAAGACATGTTGTGCCACGGCACGGTAGGCTCCAGCTTCCACGACCAGGTCCTCGTGCTTTGCGTAAGGGTTCCGTAGGTGTATAGTTCAGGGCGACGCTAAACCCAAAACGCTTCACCGGCAAACCCTGGACCCCGAAAGAGTGCAACGGTATAGAAGCCTAAGAGGCCCCTTAGAATCTGACCTGAGGATCTTGATCGAGCGCTGAGATGCTCGGTATTTTACTATATGATACTATAGTAAGGTTATATTATACTATATCATACCATATCATATTATATTCAGTCACACTATATACCATATTATCCCCTAAAACTCAAGCCCAGAACCCCAAGGTGTCATTACCCAGACAGCCTGATGTTAAGCCCCGAACCCTAAAATCCCAAAACCTTCGGTTTAGGGTTTAGGGTTTAGGGTTGTCAGTTCAGGGGAAGACAAAAAGCGGCCTCGTGCGGGCCGAGGTTGCGGATGGACGCGATGCGTCCGCCTCGCTGAGAGAGCGACAGCGGACGAACTTTGCAGGGCTTGGGAAGAGGATAGGGTTTTGGGGTTACCCCTAAACCCTAGACCCTAAACCCTTATAGACGAGTGTCCAAAGGCTGGTTAAATCTAGTGGTCCACGTATAGATTATAGGTACACAAGGCATCCCTTGTGGTCCACTGGATCCATCTGAAATCCACAAGGCATCCCTTGTGGCCCACTTAGGCACACAAGGCATCCCTTGAAGCTCCACATTAAGGACGCAAAGCATCCTTTGTGGTCCACTTAGGTCCAAAAGGCATCCCCTGAGGCACACTTCAGCACAGAAGGCATCCCTTGTTCACAAAGCATCGCTTCAATCGGCCGCGACGGTATTTAATCTTCAAGGGGTTTTCGGGTTTAACAGAACGGGCGATTAAACCGGTTTTCGGTTTAATTTGGGGTGCAGAAATTTAGTCGAATTCGGCTTCAACCGTCTGCCGGTGTACTCAAACTTCAAAGGTTTTCGGGTTTGAACGGACGGGCAGCTAAACAGGCTTTGGGGAATCCCAGATATCCATGTAGCAGTGACCATCAAACAAATGGTAACTGCTTTAACGACCCATGCACAGCTTCGCCGCGCAAAAGGCTCATACTGAAACATGCATCGCTTAATCGTTGAGACCGGCATATGGCTACTGGCGGGATCAACCAGTTGCATCTCCACACTAGCGGGGATTTGAGGAGAGGTGAAGAGGGCCTTGGGAGCTTCAAACATTCAGAGCGCGTGAATCGGTTTAGGGTTTCTGGGGTGTAAACTGAACGGTTTAGGGTTTAGGGTTTAGGGTTTAGGGTAAACCTCCCAACACAAACCCACAAACCCCCAAAATCACAGACACAGACGCACGCACACACACTCACCCTGAACCCTACACCGTAGGTCGCGTAGGTGAAGTGTGTCCCTTTGCCGCTTCCCGGGCCTAGGCGTTTGGATCGCTCGAAGAGGCAGACCTCTCGCATCTAGGCTTTCAAGTGGGAGGGTTTTTGCGGTGCTGGGTGTAGGCTTCAGGGTTCACACGTTGGGCTTCAGGGTTAAATGGGTTTAGGAGTTAGGATGTAGGGTTTAGGGTTTAGGGCTTTCCACAAAGGGGTTTGATCTCTAAGGGTTCTGTAAGGTGCTTTCAAGGCTCTATGAGGATTCTATAAGGGTTCTGTGATTCAAACATTGAGCGTTCAGGGGAGGTACTTGTAGGCGTGGTACGTGGTAGGTCAACGAAACCCGCACGCGAGACCTTGTAAACGGGACTCTCAACTCCAACTGTCATCCAATCCGTTTGAGACATACAGGTTTTCGCATTCTACGTTTCTGCGTCCGGCCACGGCAGTGTATATTTCAGAAAAGAACCTCAAGATATCATGAATAAGAAGAGTGCGCTACACTTTGACTCAAATTCAAAAATCAGGTGAAGAGTTTGAGCATGTGCTGCAGTTGGCTGCAATCTTCGAACCAGCTCGCACCAAAAACCTCAGCAATAGTGTGCTGCTTAAGGGCTTGGGGCTTGAGGGATTCTGGGAGTATGGGCCTTGTGACTCCCAAGACTGGGATTGCGGAAACCCATGAACACGACGCCGCCAACCGGAAGCCCTGAAGTAGGGGGGTCTATCTACCGATGTGCTGTTGAGACCTGGGCCCCGAAGCCTGAACCCTACTCCCGACAAAACAACAGCAAGCCCATATGGGTAGCTGGCAAAATTGGGGTCCCTTCTTGGGTCCCTAGTATGATACGGCACCTAATATTCAGGGGACCCAAAAAGGGACCCTAATTTTGACAAGTACCCATATAGTTACCAGCATAGAGCTGTGACAGTTCGGAACCCGATTTAACCAGCCTCTGCATCTGGGAGGGACGTGACCAAGCGCCAGGCGGTGTAGACCTAGGTGTGGGAGGGGGATGGGTTTCGAATCCTTTTGGCTTTGAGGCAGGCTGGGGAAGAAAGCGGTTGGTGATTTGCAGTAGGCCGATTGTCGTCTTTGGGCTTTCAGTCGGTGTGCGACGATGACAATTCACGTGGTGAAACGTTTTGCACACTAAAGACCGGCTGTGAAGCGGCCCCCTGGGGCCCTGTTCAAGCTTTAACATATATATACATATATATGTATTATATTTTACTATATATTACCTTGTGTATATATATATATATATATATGTGTGTTGATCAAGCTTTGTCGAAGGACTTGAAGAAGTATGCCAGGGTGCCCAAGATTTGCAGCAGCACGAGCTGCGAGCTGCGCTCCTCCCAAGGGGTCTTGCTCTTTGCCAGCATCGTCACCGGCAGAAGCAACGAGAGCGCGCCGACGCCACAGAAGGCGATCTTGCCAGTGCTTGTCGGCCGCACATGCGGTGCCAGCTGTACCGCCTGATACAGCGCCATGAGCGTCAAAGGCTGCAGGAGCATGTGCTCGATGTCGGGCACGAGGTGCTTCGTTTTATCACCCGGCAGGATGCGCGGCAACTCCTTCAACTCCTCGATGTGCTCTTCAACCATCTCACAGGTGCCTGCAGCCTTGCCCAAGAAGTAGGGCCACCACCAGAACACCCACTGGCCCCAGTTCACTGCCGCCAGAAAGGGTGCCATACCCGCGGCCAAGTTGGCCCAAGCCGTGTTTCCCGTCTTGGCCTTCACCAGGGCGTGCGCTACGAGGGCATGGCTGCCGCCGTTGATGGTCGCAGCAGCGATCCGTCCGCCCCAGGGCATCGGCGTGCCCTTATTCATAGCCGCGTGCACACCAAGTGGATCTGCAAGCCAGAAGACGGACTCTGCGCCTGCCACCACATACAGCGCCCAGGTGTCATTCATTGTCTGTGGCTGATGATGGAGCGAAAGAGTCAGGGGTTGGCTATGAGTATGCCGAGATATCGAAATCTTGCCTTGCCTTTCTATCCTTTCTATCACGTCCTTGGTCCGATTCAGCCAGGACATGGTGTGCGGAACCACTTCGCTTGTGATGCAGAGGACAAACTTCAACAGCAACAGCTGGACAGACGAGGTTCCCCAACATCGCCTTGACAATGAAGGATACCCGCTTTCCCACTTTTTAGTTTCACTAAGGAAACCAGTGAATAAAAGGACAACAACGACAACAGACCAGGGTATAGAGACTTCGGAATCTTGCACTACTGCCGAGCCCCCCACGTCCGCAGACTCGGATGCACAAAATCCCATGTCCAAAACCGAGCCCTAAACTAAAACCGCCGAAGCCTGAACCCAAAACCCCAGGCTAACAGACAGCAAATCGATTGTGGACCGTCGCAAGGGCCGCTGCCGGGAGGGAGAGAGAAAGGATCCTTTGCGTGGACTCCACTTCTTCGGAAACCCATGTCCCCAAAAGCCAAAAAGATCCCTGCGCTAACCGTAAGCCCTGATCCCTTAACCGCGAAGTCCAAGCAATTCGGTTTAAGGGCCCGGCACCACCTGGACCTCCACCGACGATGGCATGGGTGCCTCTCGTCTTCAGGGGGCTTCGGGTTCAGGGTTTAGGTCCAAACAGACTACGAATTCTGAGCCTACCCTAGAACCCTAAACCCTAAAACCCTAGTAGGGTAGAGGGCTTCAAAAAGGAGCCCCCTTTCGGATTGCCATCGGAGTTGGAATGGGGTGCGGGCCTGGCAGAGCTAACGGCGCGATCTTCGCGCGAGCTACTGTCATACAGAAAAGCCGCCAAAAGGGGGCCTTAATCAGGAGAATGGCATGATCATCGCATATAGTGCACCCCAACACCCTATTCTGCTTATCCAGGCCTTGAGCAGGGCCAAAGTTTTTGTCGTAGTGGCACGAGTCAGGTGTTGGGCCATACCTATCGTCTCCATTGTAATTCCTTTTTGGGGTTGCCTTTTAGGATCCTTAGTATGAAATTTGTTAAACCAAAAGAAGGAACTACAATGGAGACTATAGGTAGTGCACCAATCTACAATATCACGGGAAGAACACCGATGAATGCTCTCGGAAGCCTTGTCCAGAAAAGCCGAATGATCCAAAAGCCTGAAAACTGCGCAATCGCCTATCCCGTCCCCGTGTGAGCAATACAACGGCCTGAATGAGGAGCAGTAGTATCCCGTAGAGTCACCATAGAATTATGCAGGCTATAAAACCCTATGCAGGCCTTATTCCAGGTTTTTAAGGCCTATACCATCCTGCTTTGTGACCGAGATGCACTTGGCTGCTGCCAAAGGCAGCGAGAGAAGCGCCGCAAAGAGGAAGGCCATGGCTCTCGACAGACAGAGATGAGGATGGATACGACCCGCAAACATAAACCGTATCCCCTGTTCATGACGGGACTTTGGTGACTGGATTCGTCCAGATACAGACCATGCACAGCAGACAACAGCTCCAGAGATGCTGAAAATGCCTCCCGGGTGGCGATGGCTGGGGCACACTAGGGAGCTGAGGATTAACGAAGCTCAAGCACGTGATGACGTAAGAGATGCGCTCAATCAAAAGGCACTCAAGGAGGCAGCTGCCGCCCCTCCACTTTTCATCAAGACAGCAAGCTCCTCACCCAAGACAGTGCAAGAGCCTCCAACTCCTTCCCACAACCCAATCCGAAACGCCCCAAACCTCCCAAAAGACTCGTGGCCTCTTGCCACCGCGCTTCGCGCGCGGGCGGTCCTCGGGTGGCGGCAAGGTCTTCTTCTGCTTCGCCGGTGGCGGCCTCGGCAAAGTGGGAGCTTCCAGGTCTTGGACCGAGGGCCCACAGAAAAACCACACAGTCACACACGGAGAGGTTTAGGATTTAAGGTTGATATGCTCAGGGGTTTAGGGTTTCAAGCAATCATGAACCTTGAAGTAAGTTTTAGGGTTGGTTGAGTATTCCAAGAGAGTTCTCTTCCCTTCTGGGCCACCTCAGCTGGAAAAGCTCGCACCTTAACCCCACGTAACCTACCTTTTTAAGGACTTATATAAAGAAATCATATTAGGGAACCCTAAAAAGGCAGGTTCCTTAGCCTAAACCCTAAACCCTAAACCCTAAAAAGGCTCGCAAACACCGAGTCCCCGACTCCTGGGCCTTGGCCAGGGACTGCAGGATCTTCTCACGAAGCTGCGTACCTCAGCGTAGGACCCCAAAAAAGCACATAAGCAAAAATTCGGATAGGGATATCCCATATAAACCCCCTTATAAAGAAAGGTAGGGATATCCCTATAAAATGCTTATGCTTCTGTGCTTTTTGGGTCCCTCACAGCGGGGTCTTCTCCGCAGAATCGCGGCTGAGGATTCAAAAAGTAGATCCCTTAATGGGGGTTCCGATTAAGGGCCCCTTTAAGGGATCTATAGGGTTTTAGGGTTTAGGGTTTAGGGCTTGGGGGAGGATCCAAAAAGTAGATCCCTTAATGGGGGTTCCGATAAGGTAGCCTTAGTAGTATAGGGTCCCAAAATAGGGGATCTACTTTCTGGATCCTTTCGGGGGGTCTGGGATCAGCAAGGCAACCCCCTGCCACCGATAAACACGTCGCAACCACCCAAAATCAAGTCAAGCAGAAACCCCATGGGCCACACAATCTCCTAAACTCATGCACTCCTAAACCTGGTGCCTACAATCACTTTTTCTATTATGCCTGAATTAGTGGACTCAGCTAGTACAATTCCAGACAATGCCTTTTGTTCCGAGTACGCTGTTCTAGTAACCGGATTGCTAGAATCGTATACACGAAGGCGCCAAACCTTCAGTTTTTAGGCCGAAACACTAAAACCCATGAACTCTAAACCCTGACACCCTAAACCGCTAAACCCTAAACCCCTAAACCCTAAAACCCTAAAGCCCTAAACCCCTAAAACCCCCCGAAACCCTAAAACCCTAAGCCTTCCTTTCTCTCAGCACACCTTGGGCCCCCAGCCGACCTGTCCTAGAGGCGACTCGTGGAAAGAGTCCACACCTCAGCTTCGCTGTTCTGCATTTTCGGGTCTGGACGTCTCAAACTTGGTTTTGGTGAGAGAATGCTTCATGGGGTTGGGTTAGGGTTCTGGGCTTTGGGTTTAATGTAGGGTTCTGGGTTTCGGGTTCTGGGTTTGGGGTTTAGGGTTCTGGTTTGGGGTTCAGGGTTCTGGGTTTAGGGTTCAGGGTCTGGGGTTTAGGCTCCGACATTTTTCTAGGATGTCGTCGAGCTTCGATCGGAATCCACAGAGGGTTTTATGAAACATTCATGGGATTGTATAGAGGGTTGGCTCGAATGAAGTTTCCAGATCAGGTCCTCAGAATTCGTACTGGTCCAGGGTATTTGCTTGCTTCCTGGGCCGTGGGGGGGGACCGTCAAGCACTGAAGCTAGCCTGGACCCTGATGACCTGAGCCCTACTTCGCGGACTGGCGCTTTGGTGGCTGTGACCTATAGAGATAATAGGGAATCCGAAGGAATGCTACTCCCAACTTTTCAAGGCCCCAAAACTAGGCACAGGAGTTTGGTCTTTGAGGCCGTCTCCTGTGGCAGACCCCCTGGCTGTCTATTGCTGTGCGTTCGATTGAAAACTTACGGCTTTGGGTGTCGGCTGTAAAGGCCTAGGGTTTATCGAGCTAGACTCGGAACCCTGGACCCCAACAACTACATAGGCAGCAGGATCCTTGCAATCAGAGCCCTACTCGATTAAGCTGAGCTTTGTCTTGTGATAACCTCCCACCACGGCATTTATCGAACCCGAAAGGCAGAATGTAGGGTTCTTTCGGGGATCTTGAAGACTAACTCCCTCTGTCTCTCTCTCGCTCTCTCTCTTTCGCTCTGTCGAATTTGGCCACGATGCTTCCGAACATCATAAGTTGTAGTGCCCTGTGAAAGAAAAGCATCAGCAGCAGTGCAGCATGAGCCAGCTAACTCCTCTCGCAGAATATGCAGGATAAAGCTGCTGTCTTGAAAATACGTGTACATATTGTTGGTGGCGGGTAATTAGTTTATGCAGATGCGAGTACACATGGCAGAAAGGTAGCCAATTGGTAGGTATGCAAGTAAGTAGGCAGGTAGGTAGAGCCTAAACCCCAAAACCTGAGATCGATATGCAGACGGAGATTGTACGCACACGAAGGCAAGACCTGCTCGGATCGCTTTTTGCTGCCTAGTCCGTCCGCGTCTTGCCACGGAAGCAGCAGCAGTATGCGCAGCCTTGGGCAAATTGATTGCAACCAGGGACCTCAATGAATATAGAACATATATGCAACAGAAGATTGAGGAGCAGCTCCACTGGAACAAAGCATGTACTCGCTTCGGAAGCAATTCGATGCGTGCTTCACCAAAGAGACAGAAACCCATAGAAGCGGGGGTGCGGGGGTGCGGGACATTAACCCGCTTTACAACCAGAATCCCCATTTTACAACCAAAGACACTGTTTTCGGGGTGAGAATCACCACTTTACAACTGCCGATCCTCACTTTGCAACCCGTCTGCCTGTGTGTGCTTGTGTGTCTCTCAGCCTGTCTTTGATACCATGATGAAGGCTCATTGGGATTTCCTGAACGGACTTGGTCCTTCCACGCTCCAAACACAGCCCGACGTGCGCCCGTTGAAGGGGCGGTGCCTTTACAACAAGCCTACCTAGCTGCCTAATTAGCTAGTTCCTCGAGGCCCCTTAAAGTGTCTTATGTGGCCTTATCCCGCGGGTGCGGAGGGTACGGAGGGTGTGGGGGGTGCCGGGGTGTGGGGGGTGCGGAGGTGTGGGGAGTGTGGGGGGTGCGGGCGGTGCGGGACCGCTTCTGACCACCACGCGCGCCCGCAATGCCGAATAGTGAGCACGTGCAATGGACAATCCGCATGGCAATAGGAGCAATAGAAGAGACAAGCAGATAAGCCTAAAAGTAAACTAGCACACAATGTTCTAAGGATATAGGAATTGGTTAGGGAATGATAGCCATATTCTGTCAGCACCTATGACAAGGAGTACAGAGCAAAGGGGGCGAAACAAAAGGCGGAAAGCAGCAAAAGAAAAACATCAAAACACAAAGCAGCAAGCAAAGCAAGCAGCAAAAACCAAAAAAAAAACGAAGCAGATTACACCAAGAAAAACAACAAGCAAATAAAGTATCAAACAAAGCCGAGCACAAAAAAACAAAAAAACATAAAACGTACAGCAACAAAGCAAAGCAAGCAGCAAGACACAGCAAGCAAACGCGCAAGGCCTTTTTCCCCAACGCCGGCGGTCCCCGTTGTCCTTTCCTAACATGGGTTCCCCTTTGTTGGTCGCTAATTCTGTAAACTGCTGTATTTTTCTTTTGTTTTGCACAGCTATTTGGGAATTACACTTTGCAGCGTCCTGTTTCGCCCAGCCCTGGGTGTGCACGAACCAGCGAGCACCCATGACGTCACCCCTAAACCCTAAACCCTACCACACCCTATAAACCCTAAACCCCTAAGGCTCGGATATGAGGCCTGCGCACCAGACGCAAGGGTTGCAAAGCAGAGGCAGCACCACCAGCAGCGGGGAGAGAATCCACCTCAAGAAAAAAAGCGGCGATCCGGGAGTCAGGGCTCTGGGCTTGCTAAACGTTTTAAAGACTTTACTAAGAAATGAACCAGAAAACTGCAGGCATTTGGACTCCGGACCCATAAATGCGTGCAAGAAGCGACGCGCCCGGAAACGCTTTGCCGATGCCTGAAGACTGTCGTGTTGAGGTTTTGGTTTTTAGGGTTCAGGGTTCTTTCAAGTCAGAAGTTTGCGTTTACCTAGTCTGCCCCCCAAGACGCTTTTTTCGAGAACCGAACTGTTGAAGGATCCCGAAGCAAGTTTATAAGACTTCTGCAAAGGCTAATTTGCAGGGTGCCGGGTCGTCTCGAGGTTAAGTTCCTCCCCTTAAGCGCCATATACAACTCGTTTAGGCCCCCTTAGAGGGCCCTTGAAACATCCTAATAAAACCCTGCAGCACCAAAATCAGCTACTACACGTCCCCGTAAAACGTCCTCTACCCAACACCCTTGCATAACATTTAAAAAGGCAACCAACTACCACTACTACTACTACTACTACTACTACTACTACTACTACTACTACTACTACTACTACTACCGCTACTACTACTACTACTACCACTACTACTACTATATACTACTAACTACTAGTACTAGTACTAGTACTACTACTACTACTACTACTACTACTACTACTACTACTACTACTACTACTACTACTACTACTACTACTACTACTACTACTACTACTACTACTACAAAAATAGAACATAGAAAGCCCGGAGTCCCCCCTTGGGACCGGGGCCTTCGGCTAGGAGTTGCGACAGGTCCTGGGCCAACTGCTTTGTGAGGGTTCCGATGAGGGGTTTAGGGTTTAGGGTTTAGAGTTTAGGGTTTAGGGTTTAGGGTTGCTACAGGGGTCCTCGGAAGGATGCTAGAGCACAGGTCTTATGAAGGACCGATCGTTCCTCTTACCTACGATGTTCTTGATCTCAGGCTTCTGTTCCTACAAGGTTTTGCAAGGGTTCTTGATCTTTCTTGACAGGTTTATAGCGGTATGGAAGGTCGTAGTATTCGTTTAAAGATTTTCGGCTTTCAAGCACTACTGTGCTCAAGCGATCTCTATGGTTTGGGCTTAAGATGCTGTGGTGCATCATGTCATAAGGGTATTGCGACTTTAATGCTGTGGTGCTTTGAAGCTTTCCGGCTTCGGGGAGCAACAGTTCCACAAGGGCCAATCGAGTTACCCTACTAGGATACATGGTCTGTAACGGACACAAACGATATAGACGGCATGCTGTGCTTCTTCAGGCAGCTTAAGGTTTTCAAGTTCGAAGGCTCAAGGGATTTTCAGGGTTTCAGGGTCTAGGATAGCAACCCAATAGTCTTGCGGCGCTGTGTGCTTTGAGGGCTTCAGAACTGTTTCTGTGGGGGGGCTAAGGTGCTGACATAGGAAGGACTGGTCCGCAACAGTAGGTCCCTAGCCCAACGCAGGAGACCCTGAAGCCCTGAAACTTTCAGCAAGAGCAGCCGAGTGTCACCCGAGATCTGGATGCTGGTGTGCCGGCCGTCCGAGCTGTAGACCTGATGCTGGGCTGCTTATCGTTTTTGGGCGTCCTTTTCAGTGTGAGTTTACGAGAGTTACCGGGTTGAAAGTATCTTCTGGCCGAAGAACCCAAGATGGTTGAAGGCGTTTAAGGGTTCAGGTTTCTACACCTGATTTCAGGTTTCAGATTCAGAATCTAGGGCTTCAGCGTCTTGACGGCATAGTGTGCTCAGGGTTCAAGTGACATCAAGTGCCATAATTTGCGGGCCCCGACGTCCTAAACCCTAAGCCCTAAACCCTGAAAGCCCCTGCACAAGCTCATTACGACCCAAGACTCCCAAACCTTTTAAGAGCATCGGAAAATCATGAGATCCTTCATATCAGGGCACCTAAACCGGGACCCATGATTATCCGAAAGCCTGCCCTAAACCCAAAGCCCTACCCTACACTCCTACACCTTACTTTTAGTTTCGGGTTACGGGTTTCTTCTGCTCCTCAGATCTAGCCGAGCGGCAGAGCTGTAGCCACCTGGACCTGCGGTGTCCTCCTCGTGCTCCTGTGTTCGAGCTCATTTTCTGTGTTTTTTCCACTGTTTGGGTTTAGGGCGGCGTTTTCTTGGAATGGATTTAGGGCTTAAGGTTGAGGGTTTGGGTGGGTGGGTGGGTGGGGTGGGGTGGGGTGGGGTGGGGTGGGGTTGGGGTGGGGGGGGGGGGGGGTTGACAAGTTTCAATTTGTTTAGAATGAAGCCTCGGATACCTGATCAGAGATCGGTAGAACCCGAATTGTCCAACTCAGCGTCGTTGACTTTACGGCTCCTCGTCTTCCACACGGTTGAGGCTTGTTTGCTCAGGGTTTTGGGCCTGTTGGGGGGAATCAGGATGTAGGGCTCTGGCTGAAACCAAGTGCCTCAGCTTCCAGCTTGTTCAGGGCTAGCTGAAGTTGGTTGTTAAGGGTTAAGGTGTAGGGTCAGCGGCTTCTCCTGGAGTGGATGGAGGCGAATCGGTTCTGCGACGTGCAAGCAAGGTGGCTTTCTGGCTAAATCGGCAGACAGCATGAAGAAGAACGACAGCACTTACCAGCAATGTGGCAGGAATGACCACTGTTCAAGAACGCTAGAATCATAGAATACATCCTCACACGGCGACTAAACCGTAAACCCAAAAAGACCAAATAACTAGGACAATTACACTGGGAATCGAAGATCGTCAGTGTGTAATAAGACTGAACCCGAGCACCCAGTACGGCAGTCCAAGAAAAGTGCTGACATTATTTGTCGTGTCATGAGGACTATTCTATTCCTGACTGCTTATCCCGTACAGAAAAAAGTATAGTATTGTGTAGTAGAATACAAGGCGGTCCGTACAAGGTGGTCCCAGTTAGACCATGCCGTCCCACTGCGAGGGGTCCTTTTCAGCCAAAGTCAGGCAGGAGATCGCCTGAACCCAACACATTCGAAAATCGGCCAGCGAGGCCTGGTCATCGGATTCCCGAGGCACAAGGCGAATCCTTTATGGATGCACAGAAAATCGACCGGCCTGGTGTTTTTGATAGACAATCCCATTCGGGATTTGTAAGCCGGTGGCTCCATCTACATCTACATCAGTTCATCCTACCTGCTTCTCTATCTGCATGTATCTATCTATCTGTGCTATCTAACTACCTGGTTTTCTTAGTGAATGTATCTGCCTATCTATCTATCTTAAGCTTGCGGAACGGGAGTGTCTCGCACCTGAGAGCGGGCAGCGGGCAGCGACCATCAGGGCAAAGTAGGGGCCTACTACTTACAATTGTTGTATTACCCGTATTGGCAGTAACCATTACGAGGGGTTATACTATAAATGTAATTTGGAAGGGAACCTGCCTGAAGGAATAGTATTGCTAATTATTCCGGGACAAGACGGGTGCAAAGGAGAACTCTTCGAGGTCATAACACGGGTCCATTAAGGGTTCCTGTCCTTCAAGGGTTCCGAGGAGGGGGCCGGCTAAAGGTTCATATCAGGGTGGATAGTACTCATAGTCGTTTGGAGAATAAAATCCCCGTGTCATGTTACAAAGTTCGCCTTCTGGCAAAGCTTGTCTGCGAAACGTGTTGGCGGAATCAATGCTTGAGAGGCTACCCTGTGTAATATAGGGGCCTTAATGATTAGAACAGGGTTTTGGGGCCCACTATACTACATTGACAATACAGAACCCCCGAAGCCGCATTGGTAATTACTTAGGTCCCTACATTAATCAGTAACCTGGTGACTGGTAACGCACTCGGCTCACTCGACGGGCTGTTGACTGTTAGGATACGATGGGGTAGGGGAAAGGTGACCATAATTGGGGGCAGCAGCGACGGTAATTATGAAAGGTTGCTATTGTAAAGTATGAGGCGATAAGGCTTCAAGGGTCATACCGTAAAGTTCACTATCGATATTTGCATGATGACAGCTGCAGGGGGAGGGGGCTGTGCTGACTCCACGCAAGGCTCAGTCTTCAAACTCGACGATGTACTCCGGATACACGTGTCCCGTCTCCAAGACGATATACTCTCTGGGGCCTGAACGTTCTGGATTCGCCAATACGCAGTGCTTGCCCAGTTTTGCAGCTTCGTTCGTTGCATCCGGATGCGACTTCTCCTCGGTGTAGTGCATGTGGCCACAGACTGCCCGACAGAGTAACACATATTTCACGTTGCCACTGGAAGTGCAATAGCTGAGGCTTTTGCTCAAGTCCTCTGCGAGGTAGACCCCATGGCCAAAACGACGACCGTGCGTGCCGCTCTTCTTGATCTCGAAGCCTATATCAGCGATGGCGTCCGCTGCCTGCTGCGAGGTGCCATGCCAAAGAAGTGTCTCGTTCAAGCCTGGCGCCATATTCTCTACAGAGATGGCTTCGTCGCCGTGGAACTCTGATAAGATCGTCGCTGTCAACGCGTGGCCGGATTCCGGATTTCCGTCCAGCTCGTTTGGAGGTACACACTTGAGATCGCCGTTGGCCCGGAGCCGTGCGCCTAAAGCTCGCTTGCAGTCGATGTAGCGACACCAAAGGAATGAGTCCTCGATGCGCCTGGCGTGGACCACCTTAGGAGCTGCTCCGTTGCGCCCATATGAACCATTGGCCAAGCGTTGAATGAGCTCACGAATCATTGGCTTCACCACCCAATGTTCTCCTTACTTCCCCAAATAAGCCAGGAAATAAAAGGTTAAACTTTCAGATTACTACTAAAGTATATAAACTCAAAAAGTTTAAAGGTTGGGTATTGGAGAACTAAGTCTCGGAAGCCCTCCGTGTACGGATTGCGGCCGACATTCCTCCAATAAAGCGGCAGCTCCAGCAAGAACGGCACATCCTTCGGTGGCAGCTGGGGTGCCTCACCCCTGTGCAGGCGCTCGTAGAGGACCAAGTATTCTGGATAGACCTGGTCGCGATCGTAGACGACCATCTCTCGGTAAGTGTTTGCGGCTTTCGCGCGGTCGCCGATTGTGCTGTCACACTCGCCATTCTTGTACTTGTCAATGGCAGACGGCTCGCGGTCCAAGGTGTAGTAGAAGCTGCCTAAGCAGACGCGGCACAAGAGCAAGCCCCTCACGCCGTCGTAGTGACCACCTGGCTCATCCAAGGCATACTCGTCGGCCTTGGTGCAGCTTTCCGAGAAGTACAATCCCTTCCCATACATCGTGCCAGCGCCCGAGCCGGCAAAATTGAGGCTGAAATCATCTTGAGCTATCGCCAGACCGGTTCGAACTTGCGTTCCGTGCCACAGGTAAACCTCGTTGATGCCGTCATCCACATCGCACAGGACTCCAGCCAACCCATTGGAGGCTTCCATGGCAGCACGTGTGAAAATCTCAGGGTCCGGAGCTTCACAAGACGAACGCGACCTTTTGATCTGGTCCCGTCTATCGATGTAGCGAGAGAACATTGCAGAGTCTTCCACGCGGATGACGCGCCTGATCTGGTAGCCTGTAGGCAGGCCAGGATCACCACCAGGCTGCACACAGGGGCATCCACCCTTGGTCTTGTCGTGCTTGCCCGTCGGACATAGACGATCTTGAGTCGTTATCTTGCGGTACGTATGGTTTACCAGCTTCTGGAAGAATTCCATGTGCTCGTGCTTAACATACATAAGCTCGTGGAAACCCAAGTCATCCCTGACGTTGACTTCATCGTTTCCGCTCTCCCGGCATCCAGTCCAGTACTTTGGAAGGTTTGTCATCGCCATCTCGTTCAGCGGATCCACCAGCTCCTTACTGTCCGAGCGCAATGCCGCTTTGCCACTGATGACCACGGCCACCGGTCCACCTGCCGAGTCCGGCTGTGTCTTCGTGGCTTGACGGAAGCACATCTTCCACACGATCAACAATGATAAGAGCAGGGCCGGGACTCCGACAATGCTCAAAATTGGGACAAGGCTGGCATTGTCCTGCCCAGAAGATGTTGCCGTGGGAGTGGGAATCTTGCAAACGATCATGGTATCGAAGCTGGTTTGTCCTTGTAGATGATAGTTGAACATAACACTGTCAGTTGTCAACCACCTAAAGCAACCACGCGGAAAAAAATCAGACGTCGTTGCATACGCGAACGTGAAACCAAGGGCTGCTGCAGCTACTCTGCATTCGGATTCCGTGAGAACCCGCACTGAGTTTGCAGGACAGAACGTCACGCTGCCTGTCTGGAGCAAAAAACCAGGCGGGCCGGAGGATGTGGTCGTAGTCGTCGTAGTCGGGCCGGAGGATGTCGTCGTGGTCGACGTAGTCGTAGTGCCCTGCCCGAAGTAAGTTGTAGTCGAGGTCGTTGCATTACCAGATAGCTGGCAAACGATCTGCGACGACTCCTCGCCTTGTCCTGCATTGACATTGAAGTAAAAGGCTGCAAAAGTCTGATTCGAGTACAGATAACAACCGTTCGGAAAAGCAGGTGAGTCTTCAGTGTAGACGAACGACGGGAAACCAATAGACGTCGCGGCTCTTTCGCAGCCGAGTACTGTGAGAACCGGCCTTGTGTCTGCAGGACAGATTGTCAAGTTCGTTGTGTGAACTATGAACTGCTGCGAGTAGGATACAGTCGTGGTGTTTTCGGCACCAGCGTCAACCTGGCAAATCATCCTTGTATTCCATACGCCTTGCCCTCCTGCAATGTTGTTGAGGTAAACTCTGTCGCCATAAACCGTCGACCATTGAAAGCAACCACTTGGAAAATTTGGGGTGTTGTAATTGCCATGGTAACTGTTTCCAAGAGCTATTGCGGCGTCTCTGCAGTCAGAGGATGAGAAGACCGGCGCTGAGTCTGCGGGACAGTTTGTGGAGCCCCAGAAACCGGTGACGTATATTGCTGAGGTCGTCTCGGCCAGGAGCACAAAGGCAATGGCTGTCCACGCCAAGGAAAAAGTCTGATTCCTCAAAGCGCGGCACATCGAGAGATGGATCGGTTTACTTGGCTAGAAGCGTCGCTCTCAACCAGCTCTGAGCCCGAAAATCTGAGCCCAAACATGTGGCAGAAGGACCGGAGGCATATGGCGCGCGCGACAGATCACAACCTTAAAACCCAAAGCCGCAATTCCGACACCCGAATTCTAGGCTAGTGGACTGTTGGGAAGCAGAGTGTGACAGCTGCCTACCCTAAAACCCTAGACCCTAAACCCACCGACCTCAGTCGCACCGTCGGGATAGATGGTGATGGTGACCTCGAAGATCACAGGGTTTAGGGTTTAGGGTTTGCTTTAGGAGGGGCCTTAATGATTTGAAGAGGGTCCTTTGCAGGGTTCCTGTAAAGGGCTCCTTTAAAGGATACTGTAAAGGTACTACAAGGGATTTAGGGATGTAGGGGCCTTCAGATTGGAATAGGGTTTCGTGGCCCATGATACTACAATTACAATTTCAGAGTCTAGGAGTTTAGTGTTGAGGGTGTTTTGGGGCTTCGGGGGTTTAGGGCTTGAGGATATAGGGTTGAAGGCAGAAGGCTTCTCTCAAGACCACAACAACGAAAAGGTGTGGCTCTGAACCAGGCACAACCATAGCCCGAAAACGCCCTTTTGAGAAACGCAGGCCTTCTTCCCTGCGGCAGCATAAGTGCCTGCGAAAATCGCAGGAAGGGGGCCAGACTATGGTGTTTTCGGGGCGTAGGGTCATTTCAGTAGGGCTTTAGGCTTTAAAACGTTGAGGGTTCCGGATACGCTTCGGAGCTTCGCGCGGTATGAGTACGACGATTATGGATATGGCGGTTCCTATGCAAATCCTGATGTTGCTGCTGCAGTAGCTCATGGTTTTGACTGGTACGACTACTGCTGCTATTACATGTGCCGGGAAATCAGAACATTCACTTTTACGAAGCAATCTTGCAATCTTGCCCCACTTGGGAGGGCAGGCAATCTTGCAATTTCGGTCCAAAAGGCCAACTAGTCGGCGAGCAAGTGGGGCAAGATCACGAAAATGGCCAAGATTGTCAACCTTTCCCGAAAATACATGTTGTAATTTCCCGTCACAATATGCTATGAGGCGGGCACATCATCCGGTCGACCAGTGTGACGTGCAATTTGCCGGACATCCAGAGAGACTCTGGGAATGAGGACCAACGCAACACGACGTAGCAAGCAACATGCCGGCGACGATAGCACCGGCCAAAGACCCACGGGAACAAGACACCCAGAAGAAAGGACCACCCCAGGCCCCAACGATAAAGCAGTCTAAAACCTCGCAAACCACAAGCCCCAAAAGCATGAGCATTGAGGGGGGCAACCACGAGGCCTGTGTGCAGCCTGATTCGAGGTCGTGCTAGGTACTCAGGTGGCTTCTGAATACTGTCCGTGTAGAACACATGTTCAAGCACGCAAAGAGTAAGGACAGTCGCGATTGTTGTTGACTTCCTTCCCAGCCTATTCCTATGTTCAGTTGGTCGATGTTGTACTATGATGCAACCCTTTCACTTGGTGGTGCACTCCGGCCGAACGGAAACGCTCCCTCCCGCCATCTCTTCCCCCCTCCGCTTTTGTCATCGAGGAGATCCATCAAGAGTTCGACACTCCGAGCCCCTCAATCCTAGCAGGCAAAAGTGCAGGCGAACCTCGGTGGGCCCGCCTCCCCAAGCTGCACAGCTTCGGTTGGATTTGGGCACTAAGTGGGCACAAAAACTCTTCCCCATGTGATCCCTCACACGGGTACTAAGCTGGGGGCACTGGCTCGGAGAAAGCGCTTGAGGTGCGGGGTGGCCGAACCAAACACGCACACACGCACCGGCAGCAAGACTAAGGCCAAAAGCACGCTCAGCTGATCCGCTGTTGGCTGCGCAGACTGCAACAGTATTCCCCTGGCGTGTCGGGCAGTGCCTGGAACTGAAGGCACCACTCCCGACCAGAAGGGCCTTGTCATGCACCATATTGTACGGATCAGATGTTGCTGCTACTTGCACAACCTGTGCCTGAAACAGTAAGCCCTCAACTGCAAAACTGTAAACCCTAAACCCCTAAACCTGACACCCTAAACTTTCCTAAACCCGGAACGGTAATGTAAGGGCCTTAACATTAAGAATAATTAGTGTTTGGGGGTCTACATTACTATATAAGTATAATAAAGAACACCCCAAACCCTATTCAAAAAAATAAGGCCCCTACATTAAACCCTATGCGTGGTTCCCGCCTGTGACTGTCATCCCGGGTCTCCACTTGGCATGGACGTTGCCGAAGTGGTCTCGAAAGGTTCGGAACGCCCTTCCACGGTCATACTCCTTTGGATTCGGTTTGGATCCAGGGCTGCTTTAGCGCATTCCTTTAACGGGTTACTATAGGGTTGCATTACAGGGGCCTGAAAAAATACCATAGGATTTTGTGGTAAGTCCTAGTATAAACATGATGAGGAACCCCAGGAATAAGTTTCGTAATCAACCAGGCTTCTGTATTTAGGTCTTGAGGTTCGGCTCGAGGTTCGGGGTTGGTCTGAATTTTTAGTTTCGAGCGCTTTTTGGTAATGGGGTTTAGGGTTCGGGGTTCTACCGGGGTTCTTATAATGGCCTTACAGGCCTAAACCCAAGTAAGGGTCACACAGGGGCGGCGCAATGGTTTATGAGAGTGCTGGTAGCGGTGCATACGGAGAGTTTTGAGCACGGAAACAACCCTGAACACTAAACCCTAAAGGCCCTAAACCGAATCAGGAGTTCGGGTGTCGCACATGGTAATGGGAGTTTCCGAAAATAGGGGACCCTAATATAGTACCCTAAATAGTAGGATCCTTATTTTCGGAAACTCCCATATACACTCTTATAGTAGGCCTTATAGTAACCCTTATTATAGTACCCTTATAGTAACCCTTTAAAGGAACCCCATCCGTAAAAAAAGCTCATCGACTTCTCTGTTCTGGAGCCAAGCGTTTTGATGAGTCTACCCTAAGGCCCTAAAGTAGTTCATTTTTGGGGTTCATATACAGAATCTGAAAAGGTAATCCCAAAAAGGAACTACTTTGGGGCCTCTGGGTACCCTGTTCTGATGTGCGGTTGATTCCAAAGCTCCACCCTAAACCCTAAACCCGAAACCCTAAGCGTGAAACCTCAACCCTAAGTCAGGGTTGAAGGTTTAGGTCCCCGAACCGGCGCCTGATATTCGTATAGAAATCTGGGTTTTTGGTATTCCTAGTTCTCAAGCTATGCTTATGAAGCATAGCTAGAGAACTCGGAATACCAAAAACTCAGATTTCTATATCAATATTTCTATAGGACGACCTACACCAAAACCCGTTTCTACCTCTAAAGGCCGCTCTGTGCCCGATTTAAAGTTCCAAGTCGCTTCGACGTCGGAGGCGCCCTGAAGGGAACGGCAAAGCTCTGAACGATTTGTCAGACTTTAATGTTGAAGTTTTTACGTATGAAGTTTCGGGCTTATTTCGGGTTTTGGGTTTACCAGAGTTTGGGGCTTGGACTGCTGCCTCGTATAGGGGTAGGAAACTAAGGTTTCTGTCAGTCCGCTCTTTTCTGAAACTCCATTTACAGACATAGAAATCCGCTCATGGCTCGGGCCACAAGTTTCGGGGTTTGGGGCGCGAGGGTGTAGGCTGTAACCGTAACCCCACCCTCAACACTGAACCTGACTCTAGACCCTGAGCCCCCGAAACCCTCACCCTAGACCCCCTTAAACCCGAAAGGTACTATAGGGGCCTTAATAATTAGAATAGGGGTTTTGGGGCCCGATATACCATAATTATAGTAATATTTAGGCCCCGGAATGTAGGTTTAGGAAATTGAGCCGGCAATGTGTCTGGAGCATAGCACCTCCGCAGGTTGACCTTACGGACAATCTGAGGACTTCCGACAAGGGTTGAAGTAACTAATCATCATATACTCTCCAAAACCCTAACCTACATAACTATTATCCTAAACCCTAAACCCTAAACAACCGAGTACCTAATTATCGGGTCCTTTGAGTCCCGCACTGACACCGGGAGTTGTCATCGCTTTCCATGATCCCTACACAAACCCCTGTAACGGAGGCCTCCCAGGTGCCTCCGGAGCCACCCGAAGACAGCGCCTGCAGCGCGTGAGGCTCTTGTTCGCGTGGGATTACATAGTGGGTTTCATAGTGTCCGTAGGATTTTGCTTGGGTTTTACACAGGTATGCAATGAGTTTATGCGCTTTTGTAACTAGAGGCTTCTGTTTTAGGGTCTTATAAGTCCGAATAACGACTCCCAAAAGAGACCTGACCCACGACTTAGTAGTTCTCGGGCTCTGGCATGCAGTCTTAGGGCGTCAGGGTTTTAGGGTTTAGGGTTTTAGGATTGATAAGTGCTTGAAATTTCATTGCTTGGGGTTGGGAGCTTCAGAGCTCCAAGTTTAGATGCAGGTCTCAAAGGGGAACCCTCTTCTGAGGACAGCTTCGCCTCGAAGGTGCCGGGGGGCGCTACAACCAAAACCGCCTTTGCCGCCAAAGACGGTGACAGGACCTGAATCTCAACGACTCCGAAACAACAGTAGCTGAGGAAGATTCCTGAATGGCAGTCTTAACAACAAGGGACTCTTCACAGGGATGTTGGAGTCTCCGGGAATCTCGCCGAGAATCCGAAACTCCGAATGCGCCCCCCCGGGGGTCCTCGTAGCAACGCGACAGCTCTCGAAACCGTTCCTAGCAGGGGGGTGTGCACAGAAATACAGATTTCAGCCGCAGGCGATGCTGGGACATCCATGCCTATGATCGCCCGTCCCGTCTTTGCAACAGTTCAAGCCGGCGCCCTGCATCCAGAATCTCAACCTGAAGCCGTAAGCCCCGGACTCTGCCCCGAAACCCGAAGTCCCAACTCCCTAAACCTCTCCTCCGCATCTGGGGCGTCATTCCTGGGAAGGGCTCAGTAAGCAGAACCCCCACAGCCTCTGGCTGGCAGGAAGCCGGAACTTTAAGGGTTTAGGCCTGACATTTCAGGCAGCTAGGGGGTTCAGGGGTCCGCCGTTTGAACCCTGAATCTTTCACCATGATCCCAGTAATCACTCCGAGCAGTCGCCCTAAACCCCACAACCGCAAAGCCCTGAACTTCTAGCACCCGATAGGCTGAACCCTGAGCGAACCTAATAGCCCGGAGCCCTCACCCCCAAACCCTAGACCCTAAACCCAAGCCCTTTGCCCAAAACCCTAAAACCGAACCCCAACACGGCCGAGCTTCTTGTCAGGATGCCATTTCAGGGCCTGCTGCCTATAGGCCTGAGGCAAGCAGGGGTTGAAGCCTTTTCGGGTTCTGGAAGGCCTTTTTGGTGCCCTCTCGGCTTGTATAGTGCACTCTAGGCTTTTTTGGGGCTCTAGAAGGCCTTTATGGGGTTCTACAAGGCTTGTATAGGGTTCTATCAGGCTTTTCTGTGGTATAGTTGTTCTGCTTGAGAGCTTGCAGCCTCCGACGACTATCAAGCTTGGCACGGTCCTTAGCGTCACATCTGTCGCCAGTGACGGCGACGCACATAGGCAAGCCATCTCAGCACCTCACGTGCTCTATCAATCCCACATCCAGCAGGCACCCAACCCATGCGACGTTGCATGACATCGCTTGGTATTTCAGGGCGTCCTGGTGCATCCACTTGACAATGCCACGCGACATGATCCCACGACGGAACTACATGAAAACCACATGCTTCACAACGCTGCGGAGTAGGAAGACCGCCCATTGCTGCATAGCAAGCAGGTGAGTGCGCAGCTCCAACCAGAACTGCACGCTGATCACCATCTGCAGCTTCCCACAAGCGCCTCGTCATGGCACAACCTGCTTCACTGTACACAACCTGCCCGCGGAGGCTGCGAGCGTCTCTGCGGTTCAACGCAAGAAAGCGATGAAAAAGCTGATGTCTCCAAGCTTCACGTAGCAAATGCTTGTAGTGTTCAGCATGTCCAAGTACTTTGAAATCAATCTGTACACCAAGATCCCAATGAGACCAAACCCCTAAACCGAATTGGTCGTTCGATGTGAAGTTCAGGCTCTTCATGAAACTGCGTGCTGTAGCCAGCCAACTGCCTGCAAGCGCACGCGTGGAACGACACGGTCCACCCCAGACTTGCGCTCTGTACAATGCATTGACTGAGGCGCATCCCGCACTAAAAGCAACGTCAGCGGAGTGCCCTTCGAGAAGACACTGTAAAGGCACAGCTCCCATACGATGTTCTTGCAGCGACTTCTTCTTCTTGGCCTGCAACGGGCGCAACTCCTTCACGGTTGGCCGCTTGAGCAAGTGACCCCAGGAGGCGAGAGGCACGATACGAGTGCGCCATAGACTTCGCTTGGCTTTGACAGGGATGCTAGCTCGCGAGAGCCTCGACGCAGCACTTTCAGCCTCACGCAGGCGCTTTTCGGTGGTAGGTCTGTGGGCCTGCGTTGCTTTCGCGCACAAATCCACACCAAGCACTCTTGCCGTATCGGCAAAGTTGAGACTGCTGAAGCCTTGCTTTTGAAGCTCTGTCTTGTCCTGCTCGCGACGACAAACCAGCGTGAGCTTAGCATCATTTTCCAGAAGACCAAAATCTCTGGACACTTCATCCCAATGGTCTTTCGCCTTCCTTGCTTCACGAGCATTTGGAGCCGTCAAATTGCGATCATCCAAAAATGAACAGACTGCCAAGCGAGGTTGCCTGGCACGAAGCGCACGCAATGGTGCCGACATCAGGATGTTGAGAGCAAGGGGACTGAGTGGATCCCCTTGCGGAAGGCTGCTTTCCAGAGTCTGCACCTCGGTCAGAGTCGAGCCGTCGAGCTGGATCCACCTGTGCTGGTCCATCCAGACGTGGCGCAACATGCTACCCATCCAGTTTGCCATGCCAGCTTTCTCCATGATTTGCAATGCAATCGACGGTCTGGTTCTGTCAAAACACTGCTTATAATCCAAACTCATCAAAATGTGCTTGTCGCACATGAAAGAATCCATGATGGAGGCCAATGCCGTCATGACATCTCTGCTATTGACTGCGCCATGCTGCGATCTATCAAAGATTGCTTCACTCCATGCTTTGACCTCGGGATCGGCCGCGAGAGCGGAGCCGAGTATTCGATACAAGCCGTTGAGAATCGTGATGGGCCTCATTTTGCTCACATCGCATGACGCGCTCTCAATCGGGATCTCCGTCTTAGGAATGTGTATCTGTCTCGCATGCTGAAAAGCAGTCGGCCACTGATTGCGAGCGCGCCACCGCTCCACCAGTTGCGCATAGGTGTTCCAAACTTCCCGCGGCATGGCCGCAAGTTCATCGCCTGACCATCCGTCAGGGCCCGCGGCGGTGTTGGCCAACTTGGATGCCGCGCCGGCCAGTGCTTTCCCCGTGAACTCGAAGTTCGGAAAGTCTGCTGAAACCCCTGTAAGCGACCATCGAGTGACGGCACGATGAACGTCATCGTGAGGCCTGTCCCAGACTTCTCGCCAGAACTTCTTAACGACTTTCAAAGACTCCTCCACGGTTGCGGTGGTTCGAGTCGTTTGTCCTGCCTTATAAGACAAAGCATTCGGCGGTGACGTTGTTTGGCCCTTGAGCCACTTGGTAGCTCCACTCCCTCCAGATGTCATCTGCCTCCGCCAGCTTTGTATCCTCTGCAAACTCTTGGCCCCAAGCTCTTTGGAGAGGGCTTGTTCAAGTACTTGCTCGCGTTCATCCCAGGAGCTAGGCAAAGGAACATCGTTTGGCCACGACTTCAAAGTTTTGCTCACCAACGCCTGCGGGAGGTTTCCAATTCTGATTTGGCGAACGATTTCACGTGTTCGACCCAAGATGTTGGCCAAACGTCGTGACCTGAAGGTGCCACGATGAGCATGCGAGAAATCAAAGCGCTGATGGATGAGTCGAGGCTTCGTGCCTTTCGGGCGCCAGTCCGGAATGAACTTCGGACCAGCACATGACGTAGACCGCATAGCGCTAGCACAAGCTGCTTCAAGCTTGGAGTTGAACCACTTCCATTCAGCTTCGGTGCTTCCAACGTCATGCACCACTTGATTGGGCCACGCCTCGGCCACGGCGGACTGCCACTGCTCAACAGTACACTCCACCGGCCTCGCATACCGCAAAGTGGGAGCGAACTGCCACAACGCAGCACGCTCCACAGGAATCTCAAAGTTTCCTACGAGCATCTTGTGATCTGAAACTGCCGTTTCTTCATAGCGGAGATGCGTGCTGCTTTCCGGGCTATTCGACAGAACATAATCAATGCATCTTTTGCCATCCCATCTGGAAGGAACTGCACACCGAACTCCTCCAACGCATTGTGTATGAAATCCTGAAACGTGTGCTTCGCCCGCCTGCGTATTGAAATCCCCAGCAATGAATATCGGAACTGCTGGGGCCGCGCCTTGGAAAGCATGTGCCAGAAGGTCAAGGAAAGGCTCCTGTTGACCTTTGCGCGCATAGGCGGAGGCAACGAGGCAGCTGCCCATGTCCACACACATGAGCTCTCCTTCTGTCGAGCTGATTTTGTGCCATTGTGCTGCTTTGCACGCTTTCTTCATGGCCAATGCAACGCCTCCCCAAGTGTGACTGCGGCCTCTGGAATCCACCGTCGGTTCAGAGAGCGCATGCCAGACCCTGTAACCACGTTTTTGTAAGAGGCCAGAAAAATGTCTCGCCGTCTCCTCGTTGAAGTGTGTCTCCTGAAGACACAGTACATCTGGACTTCCATGTTGGAGATGATCAATGATCTGAAAGGCACCAGCCGTGCTACCTACGTTAAGGCACCAAAACGATAATCGATTACGCCATGGGGGCCCCGGATTCTCCTCAACATCGCCATCCTCCGTAAGCCGTCGTTGCCACTGATTCGGTGCATCATCGCGTTCGGCAGGGAGTCAGTCTTGGGAGCCACTTGCGCGTGGTCGGATCTTTGTCGTGTTGAGCTGCTTCACCTCACTGTGCGACAGTTTCCAAATAGACTGTAGCTTGCGCTTGTTTTTCAACTGTGCCATGCCCCAAAGCCTCCGACGACCCTTGGATTGCATCAACTGTCGTCTGTCATCCTTGCCCTTGCACTTGAAGTGGATTGCCTGAATCGCACTGATGGATTTCCAATAGCGCGTGCAGTTTGAGCACGTGTATCTCCGGCGCTGACTAGTATGCAAAACCTCGACGATCTTATGGCCACCGCCTCGCAAGCTTTCCAAAACCTTCGATTCGCGGGACTTGAACTGCAACATTCTGGCAGCATAGAGACTGTTGACCGTTACGCGCTCCGTCAACCCAGCCTTGGAGAGATGAATGCTGCGATTGAGTTTCTGATCAGCTCCTTCGGGCGCCTTCTTGCACGATGCCAAATGACTCTTAATGCTTGCTTTCGCCTGGGTCCTGTGCAAACGAGGAAGCCCTTGGTGGCACCAGGCACATTCCCACACCATTCGTTTCCCCAGTGCTTTCTTGCTTAATGTCGGAATGACGGTGCACTCGTTGAGACGGTGAAACTTCTTGCGGTCTTCATTCGGATGGACCTTCTGAATGTGTCTGTGGCGGGCGGCTGAAAGCATCGGGCGTAGGCTAGCTCGGCAAAGCATATGACAGACATTGCAAACCCACACATGTGACTCGCAAATGCCCGTCTTGCTACTTTTATCTTGCTCCGCATGGGACATCTCAGAATGACTGCCTGCAATGCTTGACCCTCTCCTGTGTATTGTACATGAAGAGCCCAAGTGCTGCTGATTACCACCATCGCAATGAATCGTTGTCATTGGCGAGCTCTTGGTGGTTCCCGCCTCACGTACAGGAACATCTGCTCCAGAATTCTTTGTCCTTGATTTCTTCGTCGATGCAAAGTCCGAGAGCCTCAGCGAGTTCTGATCATGACTGCGCTTGTTGCTTTCATGATTCACCGATCCAAAGTCTGATAAGCGAAGAGACCCTACACCGCCACGCATCAAAGCTGTCAGGTGCCCTTTACCTCCAGCTTCATCTTGCTCACGTTTGCGACGGATGAATTCCTCCTCCCGAGCATCTTGAAGGCATTCATAATGACAATCAGAATAGAAAAGGTAGACCCCCGCGTTGCGCGCATTCTCGTTGAAGATTCGCACCTCTCCTTTGGAGGTTGCCACCCAAACCCTTATGTTGAAAGCTTCGGCAAATGCTAACACTTCCAGCGCACCACTCCACACGCCTAACATTTGTTGCTGATCCACGTATGCCTGGAAGGTGCCGTCCTCTTGTTGCTGTCCTCGAGCGTCCGGTTTGCCCTGGCCCAACCATAACTCTTCGTAGTGCGAGAACCATTTCTTGAAGGCCGCCGTGGTGAAGGCCCGGATTTGCCGATGGGAACGTTCTTCACCTTTACGCGCGACTTCACCTGCATGATTGAGAGCTTGGGCTAAGGAGTGATAGAGACAATCGCCCTGACCCGAATTTCGCAATATTTTTCCAGTTGGCATCCATGTGCACTTTGCCATCGCAGCGGCTCGCTGCGGTTGATGTGTCTCTGCCGCTCGCTTGGCACCTTTGGTCTCAGGCTGAATGCCGGCATCAAGCTGCAAAGGCTCACCATCCTGCTGAATGACTTCCCTGGAAGCAGAGATTGTTTCTTCGGTTTCCACCTCCATGTGGAGGTCTGGTGATTTGCGCGCACCATAGTAGCTATATGTCCCCTCCGCAACTTCAGCAACTGGTAAGACATCGCGGTAGGACACTCGCTTTTCCGGTTGCAGGCCTCGAGCACTGGAGATAGGAGCTGCACGCCATTTAGCATCCATCATCGCCTGCAGTTCGAGCTTTTCGCCTGCACCTATCTCCATTTCTGCTTGGACACTCTGTAGCCCGTCCCCCCGACGTGCACTGAAGTACCAACTTGCGCCTGGTCTCTGAAGGGACTTGCCTGTGATGCTGGCATCCTGGTAGCCCATGGCCATCAACACCTGAGAAACATCATGCGTGGTCCAGGCCTTAGGCACCCATCGAATCGTCCATTTATGAGCCGGCTCCTTCCATCGAGTATCTCGGGGGGACACCCTGACTCCCAATTGATGCGCCCCTCGAACTACACCGAATGAGCCCTCCTGCCGTACTCGAGTCAAGTACTCATCCCATGTTTCTGGGTTTATCCATGGGATCCACAAGACTTTGGTGGCTTGGTTGTCACCTGGGTACTCGCCTACGGCCTCGACGAACCACGTACCGAAATCATTGCTGGACCCGCTGTGGGCAAGTAACTGTTGAGCCAAACTTTGATCATGAACTCGTAGTAGCCCTTGCACAAGACCAGCATGAACCTCCTGCCATGCCCATGTGTCTCCTAACTCCTGTCTGGACTCTGGAAATGCGGATGTTGCCCATTTCCTAGCCTGCGGCCCTGGAGACTGCAAGACTCGCTTCCAGTCCGAGTTGTTGTAATGCCATTGACATGCGAGTCTGAGTACCCACGAAGGTCGAGCGGCACTTGGCGATTGCACTCCTGCTGGAAGCTTCATCGCGATTCTTGTGCGTAGTATGGGCTGTTCTGGCCCAAACCGGAAGATCCAACAGGTGCGGGCCTGAAGTCTGCCATCGAGGTGACCTGGCACTTTGATGCGCGTCGCACTGCTACCAAACTCCTGAAAAGCGGGATCCAACTCTTCAATCTTTGATGGATGACTTCCTGCAAGAATGACTGCTATGCTCCCTCCCACCGTGGCGGCGATCATGTTAAGTATCTCCAATGCTTCATCTTGCATCTCAACTTGCACGACCCAAGTCCGCCCCTCATCTACATCCAACTGATTTGCAAGGTCTGCTGGGCCACTGCTAAAAAGAACATCACTCCCTCGCTCTTCTACCCAGTCTTCCTTTCTGAAAGACCACTTGATTTCCTTCCACGTCTCCGATGCTGCTCGCTTCCAGCGATTGGACCTGCGATTGCTCTTATCAGGAGTTGGGTCGGGTCCCGAGGGCCAGGAGGAATGGGTACCGTCACTCCACGGATCATCCCATGAACCGGGACCTGCGGTCCACCACTCCCCTGTCCCTACACCCCACAACCCTGAATCACAATGGTGATGTTGCCAACGCTGCTGTTGCCATCGATTCGCCCGCCTGGTGTTTGCGGACACTGTCACATCAAGGGTTTGATTTGCACCTTCATGTTCAGCAGCAAGGATTGCCGCTAAGCGATGGATGAGTTTGCCCTGTCTTGGACCGTCAATCGCGGCCCGGAGCTTCTTGACCAGAGCAACTTCATCACTTTCCTGATGCTTCTGAGCTTTATGTTTATTTTTTCCCCCACCACGAAGCCCTGCCGCGCAAGACATCAAACTGGCATGAGAGGGTATAGCATGATCAACACTCAACTGACATGAACTTGTCGCTGACGAATGTGTCACTTGTATCGGGCCCTGAGGTCCGGGCGCACAGCGAGCTGACACACCGCAGGTATCAACCAGACCTAGGTCCTGCAGTCCACTGCACTCCCGTGCCTTCTCGCCACGATTCACAATGGAAGCATGTGAATGCACACGCCTGCGCATGCGTCTCAATCTTCGCTTTCTGATAAGTCTAATTCTGGCACACGATCGACCCAGAACAATGCCGAGGCCCAAGCTATGTCCATCGATCAATTTCCACTTTCGCCGAAATGGAACCCTACGCAACTTGCGAATGAGAGCACGTCCCCATGAGACACGCTGCCTTCCCACCCGCATGGCTGCCCATGCAGATGCTTGCTTGCGCATCCGAATCATGTCAAGATACTTCTGTCTTTTGGTCTGCTCTGTCTTGCGTCGGATCAACACAACAACAGCACTGAAGAACACTGTTGCAAGGTAGATCTGAGTCGTAAGCTGAATCATCTCATGCCACAGCAACTCTATGGCCTGCACAAACTGGAGCAATCCGCACCACAGCAAAGCTATGGCCCGCATCCACCACGAGGAGGTTTGCTCTCGGATGCTTTTCTGTGGTATAGGCTTTATAGGGTTCTGAAAGGCTTTTATGGGGTTCTATGACGGTTTATGTAAGGGTTTGCAACTACATTACAAGCCGTTGAGTGTAGGGTTTAAGGCTTCAGGGTTTGAGGTTGGCGGATGGAAACGCCAATGGGAAATTACACAACAATCTCGGTCAAAACCGAAATCCCTAAATCCTGATGCCCGAAACATTAACCTAAACACCCTGCTTGCGGGCTGCAAAAGCTAAGCTTTGATAACCAAATGCCGACAACGGACTCTCTACACCGAAAAACGGGCACGACCTCCATGATTCCAGCTGAAACTTGCTCCGACTCTCAGCAGCTAAAGTCCCTCTGCTTTGGCCATAACATGTTTCAATTTATAGCCTAGCCCTGAAACCCCAAGCCAACCCCAGCGTGCCCCCTCACCCACAACAACACATACGCAGCAAGAAAATGAGGATCACACACACGCACACAAAAACCCTGCCAGACGCTATGACCTCCATTCTACCAAACCCTAAACCCGAAATCCTAAACCGAGAGCCTTCTTGAGCTCCTTCTCATTGGCACCGCGCTTGACTCCCAGTACATCCTTAGGCATGCTCGAATGCAACAAAGGGAGGAGCCACGTGCCCAAAAAACGCGAAACCCCACAAGGCACAGCCTTAAACACTACAGACTTCAAACCCTAAGCCCTAACTCCGTGAACCCCCGTTGCTGTCGTGTCGAGGCTCCCAGCAATTCGTCCTCGCAGTCGCTGTGCCGAAAAGCGCCAGGAGCAACGCGACTCCAAGAGCCATGGCTGCGTGGCACAGCTGGGCTTAGAGATGCCCTGTCCACGAAAACCCCAAATTCACTTCGGGAGTTTGGATCGAGAAGTTCAGGGTTTTGGATTTACGCTTCCTCCGTAAACCCCTAAACCCTAGACCCTACCTAAACTCTAAACCCTAACCCTGGGTTTTGAGGCCCCCTCTTGCGTTTAAGGTTTAGGGTGAATTTTGGTTTAGAGCGGTTTTGGGTTTATACGTTTAAGGCTTAGGGTTTAAAGGTTTAGGGTGAATTTTGGTTTTGAACAGTTTTGGGATTAGACGTTGAAGGCTTAGGGTTTAACCCCTAGGGTTTAGGAAGAAGGCGGAGGGTAAGTCTATGGAAGCCTGATCGCCATATCGAGCTCTGATGGGGACCCTAAACCCTAACCTGATCAAGCCCTACGGTTTAAGGCGGCTTCTACAATTTGTTGTTGCAAGGGTTCCCTGAAGGGCTCCTCCTATAAGGCCTCCTACAGGGTCTTAAGGGTTGCAATACACTTGACGGAATACTGCTTAAGCAAGTGACCCCATGTGGTTCAAGGAGTCCTAGACATGAATACCCTTGATTGTGAAATCTTGAATGAGCCAGGCATGGAAAGATGAGGGCTTTCCAACCAGTGGTTTTGGGGTTCCCTTGGCTCTTTAGCTCCTTATTTAATAGGGATTATCATCATCCCTGGCTCCTTAGCTCCTCCAATATCAATGGTTAGCTTTTCTGAACACATGCTAGGGTCTCTGCCCTCGCGACGGGATTGTATATTTAAAACCCGAGTCCTGCAACGTAAAATACTGATCCATGAGTACGGGTAAACGTACGCTTATAGTGCCTTCAAAGGACGCCAAAGCCCTAACCGTAAACGCCAAACCCGAACCCCGAAGGAAGCCTGAAAGGCACCCTCTCCGAGACTCGCACGAGCAGCGAGGCCGCACTTTCCGGCAACGAGCTTCACCTCGGATAGCTTAATGGTTTACGGGTTTAGAAATTAGCTGGTTATTCGAGGGCTCGGGTACCAGAACTCAGGATTCCGGGTTGGAGTCTAGAATAATGCTTGAGAAATAAGACTTTGGACAGGCGGTTTGGGTAGTTTAGGGTCACGGGTCGAAGGGTTGTCGATGTTTTTGGTTTAAGGCCAAGGTTGATCTGCGGCTCTGGGACTAGATGTTCTCATGTAAAACACGCGTATTCGTGTCTATTGTGTGTGTGGGTGTCAACATGCATACGACCATGTGGAAGTATGTACATGCGTACGTAAAAACACATATTGTGTACAGAAGTACGTACTTGCGTACGTATGTAAGACTGTATATGTACGTACACACAGGTAAGCCTGCGCGCATGTATGTTTGTATATGTATCTAACTGCATATACGTACGTATCTACGCATGTATGTCTGCACGTTGTGCGGGGTTAGATCCCTTACATCTCTTCACTGAGGGTTCCTTACTCAGGATCCCTTATAGTTTCATGTCGATCAACATTCCTATATTCAAAAATATGGGAAGTCCAACTTGATACCATAAACCCAGAACCCGACTGCTAGGCTAGACTGGCTAGACATCAACCCGAGTCCCAAACAGTAAATCCTACACCCCAACGCCAAACCCCAAGCCCAAACCCTAAACCCCGAACTTTACACCCCAATCCCCCCAAAGCCCATAAAGCTTGAACCCTACACCCCCAAAACCTCATAGAAACTTGAACCCTAAACCCTACACTCTACACCCTAAACCCTACACTCTAAACTAAACCCTAAACCCTACACCCTACACTCTAAACCCTACACCCTAAACCCTACACCCCCCTAAACCCCCCTACCGAAACTCCAGGGATGACCTGCGAGACCCTGGGCTGCCGGCCGCGCGATTCCGAAACTCCATGGGCGTACTCACAATAAGGTCGCTCCTGAGCTGCGGCAGACTTAGGGGGGCCTTTAGGGTTTAGGGGCTTTTGGGGTTCAGGGTTGAGGGTTTAGGGGTTATAGGGTTCAGGGAGAGGGCTTAGGGAATGGGGTTTGGGGCATGCGCGTGGTGGGTGCGCTTCTTTTGAAAGGGGAGGGCTTGGGCTGGGGGAGGTGGGGGGTGTTGTTCCGATCCACATGTCCTTAGGTGGGTTCCCTTCTGAATCATGCCGAGTTGTGGAGACGAGAGAGAAGGCAAGGGCAGCCCGAATTCATCCGTACTGTAGGAACCTGATTAAGAAACCCTGGGCATGTAACCTCACAGTAGTAGGATTCATACAAGCAACCCTAGTAAAGGCCCAACGTTTATTAATCAGGATCTTACATTATTTTGCCTACCCTGCCGTTCTACACTGTCGGCTCACCCCGTCCCAAAGGCGACTATTCGGAGAAGCTCTGGATTTAGTGCCTAGAGGGTAAGGGGTTGAGGGCTTTGAGCTGGCTTTAGGGCTTGGGTGCATACTTTTTTCGGGCTTATGAGGCGGTGGTTTAGGGCTTCTGGGGCTTAGGGCTACAGTTTCCGTTGGGCTTTCGGCCTCGTCTTTGTTTTCGGCACCGACAGCTTCGAAGATCTTGCAACAAGGTACAAGCCTGGGCTTCAAGTTTTTGGGCTTTTACTCTTAGTTACCACATATAGGGTGCGAACGGACTGCGATGCCATGTCAAGTTCTAAGGTGTCACTATAAGAGCTGTGAGCAAGACCGTGTAAAGTGCAAGAGAAGGGGGCACGCTACGCGTCCCTCGACTCTAAGGGGGCATGCTACGCATCCCTCATCTTTACCTTTCTATGTGACCGCCAACGCAACGTTTGGCTCAAGTCAATGCCCATAGCTAAGTGCTATATGTGTCTTCTATCCTGAGCAATCAGAGCTATCCCGTTGCACAGACGAACCGCCGCCGGCAGTGAGTGCAAAAGGAACGGCCGCCGGTTCTGCCTGCATAGGATTGCACGTGTGGAAGTAAGAGGGAGAGACAGGGTCCAGTCTGTGGAGAGTGCAAGCCAGCCACACCTACATTCATTACAGCTCTGGTGGGGAGAGCAGCAACCAAGTCGAGATCAATCCCCCACGCAGGTTATCAGCCGTACGCGGCTCTGCCTTTCTACAGCAACGACTACTTGATCTACTACGACCACAATGAACTCAGGATCAAGCCAAGATACGACAATGACTTTCGGTGCCGATGTGGCAGCGCCAGCCGTTGGTGAGTCAACAGCTGATGACACAGTGGTGCAATCCGTTGATAGCTCCACGGAAGATGACAAAGGTCAATCTTCTGCGCTTGCCATTGCAAAGGCAGTTCCCAAGGGGAAAGCAAAGAGTCTACCAAGAGCATCTACGCCTTCGCGTCCGACATCCACAGGTTCGAGGACGGGCAAGGCTTCAGAACGACGGGCCGAAGCGTCTGGTTTTCAGGCACCTCGGACTACGTCCAGGGCCAAGGACAAAGGAGTGAAGACCTTGGAAAAGAAGTCAAGACCATCATCTTCGAGAAGCTCTTCAGCACGATCGAGGACTTCGGCTACTCGTGGGCGTGACAAATCCATGACTTGGAATCGGATGGTTACCAATCAACCACGTGATGCTGACGATCTGGATATGACTCTGGACACTATCCCAGCACGTGGTGATGCATCATCGGTGACCACGCCAGCCATAGCCGATGGTCCGAATGCCTATCAGGAACTGACGATTTCGCAACAGCTCGAAGCATCTAACCTTGCGCAGCAGATGTACTATCGCAGTCAGATGCAAGAATACGAAGGAGTTGTTCAGACCCTGATGGACAAGATCAAGGAGATGCAACAAGAAGATGAAGGATCTGGAATTCGCATTGAAGAATTGGAACGACAACGTGACCATGCATGCTTAGCCATGAGGCACATCAACAATGTCAATCAGGAGATGAAGCGAGACTATGAAACAGCTTTGTTTCGCATGGATGAACAGAACTCTGCTCAACAACGTCAGGCACACGCCGTTGCCGAGGAATTGGCTCAGCAGCTACATGTGTTTCGCACAGAAGCAGCCACCAACTTCGTGCAGTTGGAGGCAAGAGCGCAAGGCGATGGTGAGCTTATGGCACGTGAGTATGAGCGTCTGACTCATGAACTTCATGAACATGCCAGAGAGAACTTGTTCCTCCGGTCGAACACAGCAAGTTCGGAACAAGCTTTACAAGCAATGCAGGAACGATTCCACTT